CCCCCCCCCCCCCTGTGTGCAATACTTTCTGCGGGGCACCATGTTTCCGAAAAAAATTGTTAACTTTACCGGGGGTGCTTAATTTTCGTTAACTTAAGCGAGGTTCGTGATATGCTGTTGGAGACAATCCCCAACCACTGGTCGTTGTGATAGCTCACTTTTCTTTTGTTGCGCTACACTTCCCGAATGGTCGCACGTGGTCTCGTGAACGCCTCAATACTGGGTGCTGCGTCGGTCGTTGCTGCAATAGTTTCCGACTATGGTCAAAATCGAAATCGGTCGGCAACGACACTGCTGTACTATGCGGGTAAAATAGAACAAAAGCACCCAAACTAGTAAAAATAGGACTACTGCTTGTTTCTGGAGAGAACCGGACAACAGCATCTAACAGCCAAACCAGCGACACAGCAGTAGTATAGAGCTCTGCACTGCAGTGTAGCTTTCCACGCGGCAGGATGGACGGGTCTCGTTTTCGGTGGAAGCGAACACTGCTACAAGTTATATAGACATTCATCCCAACTGCCGATATACCTCGGCAAATACTTGTGGGTGCAGTAGTCGAGCTTCAAAAGCCAAACCTTTCACAGGTCATTCACTCGCTCCACGGACTGTCAGATAGTAGACACCAGGTGTAGTCGCGGGGTGCCGAGCTCTGAGTGAGTACTTGTGCCGCTGATACAGGAGTAGTGTTACTCTGCTCCTGGCGAACCTTTCCTAAGGAAAATTCTCAAGATATACTCACCGCCGCGTTAACCACGTAGTGAAGATGTACGAAGCGTGCCCATCGTCTCCGATGAACGATATTTTCTCCTGCCATTCCGTCCGAGACGGTGTCAGCAAGTCGGGGCGGACTTACAACTGAGGCAGGCATAGGCGGCACCGTGCGGACAATGTAATGTGCGTTTCTTGCAGTTGTGAACCCCCGAGGGTATGCAGTAGTGAACCCTACCAATATTGCCCACGTCCCCCCCCCATCTGGAGAGTTCGTGCACACTCACTACAATCTATTGCTACTCCCAACTTGGTACTGCTGTGCCTGCGCTGTTCAAGCAACCATCACCTGCTCCACCCTGGATCCCCAAGATGTCGCAAGGATCTTCACCTCATAGGTGAGTATTCTTGGTGTCACTATGTTCCGGTAGTTGTCTACGTGCCACCAAGAGCGGCAGAGGAGTTGCCTCGTTGCCTCTCTAACGAATCTCAATCTTGCATCTCTACTTGTACTTGTGAAAAGCAGCAAGATCTACGATCTACCAAGGCGTTCCGACAGCAGGCAATATCGTTGATCAATGTGTTGCGAAGAATGTCTTGTGGCCCTTGACACTAGGGCCCTTCCCCTTCACTTCCGTTGAAATAATCGAAAACTACTGCTATTTTCCCCCCAGCGCACCAATCTGGCACTCGGAGGGCACGAAGAATCTCCAGGTGTTGTCTTCGGGTATTGACCACGGGGTGACTCAAAACCCGTTCGAGCGCAGATGGAGTCCGTATGACTTCAATGGCGGGTGAGCAAGGGATTCGTCGTTTATGATGCGGATTCCGAGGTGGACTGGTAGTTTTTTAGCTGCCTCAAACTTCTCGTAACAGGTATGCAGTACATACTCTGGACATGCACGAGTACCGGGGTTGCGCTAGAGTTGAGAGAACTGGTACCCGGCTCACCGCTCCCCCTCCGTGTCTACAATAGTTTTGAGGAGTGTCTCTCCGGGATCAAGTGCATTTTCGGGAGAGCGCAGCAGAGTTGTGTCGAAGCAAGGAGATGGGAGTTGAAACGTGATGTTGAAGCCGGGGGTGAAGGTGTGAACTGGGTGTCCCGCTCTATTTCCTGTGGCAGGTGTTATGTGGTAGAAAAGCACGTCTACTTTGTTGCAACACGAGGTCAAACAAAACACAGCATAGGTTCACAGCAGTGGTGAGTGTGCGTTTAATGTTCGTCCTCTACACAGAAAATACGAGATTGACTGCTGTCAAATGCACGTTGAATCTAAAATAAAAGTCTATGGGGGCCAACCGTTTTTGTCGCACGTAAACATAGTGGGGCCAACTGCTTGTCTCACGGGTAGAAGCTTAGCTGTTCTTAAACGTCGATGGCCACAACAAAGTACAGAGTCTCTAGAAGCAAGTTGGCACGTCCCTTGCTTCGCCAGCCTGAAGAAACAAAAATAATATTGTATCCAAACCAAGAAGCAACTGCGGCTGTAGTCGCGGGTCGTGACCCCCCCTCTCCCGGCCAAAGTTAGCAGTAGCCGGGTAAACGTCAGCGGCGTTGCAATCCTCGACTTGTATACGATGCATCCTTGAGACACCAGTACGATACGCATATGCCTACCTAGTGCCCGACCTGTACAACGAAACATAAGCGTACGTCCACCACGTAGGAGCTGCATCGCCTCTTGGGTTGTCGCTGTGCTGCGCGAGGATTGTGGATTTGTAGCGTCCTCGCCACTTTCGAGTGTTGAATTGTGCGGGTATGCCGTGTTGTGTTCCAAATACTCTCCAAACTACTTAGTCTATCGCGGATAATGCCGCACAGCGCTACAGCGCGTCGGCCCTCCATCGGCCTGATCTTTCGCAGGGTCGTAGGGCAAAGATGATCGAATGAAACTGTTGTGTGATTCGCTAGTGATTGTTCGGCAGTTCCTCGCAAAGGCTAATCTTGCAGTTTGGACAATGTGTAGGTCAACGACTTGAGTTTCCTACGATAGTATTTATGCAAAAATCTCGTCCATTTCATATTGTTCGCGCATCATGTGCTGACTCACGAAGTTTCCCGTGCCCCTGCCAGCACGACCCTTGCCATTGCAGGCGCCGACTACGTGGTTGTTGCGGCCGATACCAGAATGAGTACAGGATACTCCATCATGTCGCGCGATCAGACCAAGCTTCATCAGCTTACCTCGAAGTGCGTGATTGCCTCTGCTGGTTGCAAGACAGACGTGACAACTCTGTGGAAAGAGCTGGATGTTAGCATGACCATGTAAGTTCCGTAGGAACCATGTACTATGCAACTTGAAAACATTATAATACTTCAGTATATAATCTCGAATCATGTTGGTGTAGAGGTGCTGGTATGTCTGTGGAACGTCGATGAACGTGTGTTCGATGTCAAATCTGCGTCTGCGTGACGCCGTAGATTTGTCTTTCACCTTGCGGGTGGCGCTGGAAGTATGATATGTTGCCGATGTGGTGATGTCTTTGATACAGAGAAGTGGCGACCCAGGAAAACGGCCGTTTGTGACGAAAATGTCCTTTCGCACAGCACTAGTCTCAAGGATCAATGGTGTTGGTTATTCGTGCTGGCGGTCGTGTGTCTAATCAAGTAATTATACGTCCATTTTGTTACGCATTTCGAAAAATGCCTATCCGTGTATTCGGTCGGAAAGGGTCATGACCTTTGACTATTAGAGGTAGGGAACAGAGGTAGGGAACATTGGCTCAAGTTCAAGCTCGGCCCTCAGGCCTCACAGCGACGCCTGAGAACGAAGCGGCGGAATTAGGCCTGCTCTCAAATCGACACAACAGCGTCACATCGCGGCACGCGCCGCAGGTGGTGCCGCTCGGCCTCCCTCTCCGCAGAGTCCACGGGACGCCCTCTCTCAGCGAGACGTTGCCGCCGAGGGCTCCGGGCGCCGAGCGCCGGGCGAGCTTCCCGCGCCGGCGGAACCGCTCCAAACCACGTGCTCGCACCTTCATTGGCACCTCGAACCAAGCGAGACTGTCAATAACGCTGCTTGTGATTGGGCGGAACTCTACCGGTGTATTTGTGGGAACTTGAAGTCATCACAGACCTCGGAACTCGGAACTGCCTAGCAAAAAAGCAACACTTAATCTATACCTCTCGTGTACTTACTGCGAAATGGTACATCAGCACTTAACCCCATCGTGTGCTGGGGACTGCTGTGTAACACTGCTACCTCGCAATGTGTGTGCGACCTAAAGTGGGCAAACATGTCTCCCAAAAATGTGAAGAAATGGCAACTTGCCGGATATTCCGAGCAATTGTTTTTTGCCTCTCGGAACTCGGAACATCTCTTTCGCTAACTACTGGGGGAACTGGTGATGTGTGTGCGAAGCATATACCACTACTGTACATGCGTTGTGTGAGCCCCACAGAGCCATAACTATAGATACCAGCCAAAGTTACGCACGGACAGGCTGGCACACATGGACGCTGTGTGCGCCCGGCTTCACCGCAAAAAGTTCGTTCTGACAAAAAAAGTGGCTCTCGGAATATATCTCTCTCATAGAACGGGGCGGTAGGGGGGCGGAAGGAAACGGCGCGGCGGGAAGAAAGCAAGCGAGAAGAGACCGACCGCGTGACGTGACATGTTGCGGTCGAATTTCAACGACTAATTTTTCTGTTGCCCTCTCCCCCGTTTGCTGTCGCGTTCAGACTGTCTCTAGGGATATCCCTGTCTCTGTGCGAGTTTGTTTGTGTCCTCGTCTTTGCTTTATTCTGTTTTATTTTGTCTTTTGTTTTGTTTTTTTCTGGCACGTACCCCCGCCCCTTCCTTTGGCCGTCGACCTGCCTCCATGTAGTGGGAGGCTACCCCCCCAGGCTGGTGGTGCGGCCGTTCCACTAGTCTAATTACTTATTTTATTTTATTTTATTTGTTTCTGATTATATTTTGTTTTCTTGTATTTTATCGCTCTGCTGACCCTTGGGGTCCATTTTATTTTGGTATACCTTTTCTAGGTACGTTAGCCTGTGACCACGGAAATTGGCCGAGTCAAGTGATGGATTAGTACGGAGAGATTGAGACAGAAGGAGGTACTGGATAGAGAGACCGGGATGGTTTTTAATGTGAAGACAACAACAACAACAACAACAAGTCTGCTAACCCTAAAGCACGGATTGAATTCTTTATCCCATATGTTTGCTCAATAATTTTTGCTGCGTAGACTACTGATCTATCTCTCTGCTGCGGGGAGGACGACGATATATGTTTGCGTGCAAAACATTTACTACCGCTGTTGCTGTAGTCGCACGGCTGTAGGTATGGTTCAAGCCACACTTATACACAATTGCAGTTTTAGACAAGTGTGGAAGGTGGAAGGAGCAGGATGACGCACGCTTCTCCCGACTTTGAAGCTGCAGTTATCTTTCTTTTCTGTTGTACACCACCACCAACGAACCACCGTCCCACTTAATATATGCGTATATATACTTCGCTGATCGGTGATGTCACTTGACTTGTTTGTGGGCTAGGGTGCCAAGCATGTTCGCGGCCAGCTGTTTGCGTTGCTGTCTCTCGTGCACAAAACAGGTTGCAAACATCACCGGCAACACCGGCTCATCATTCTTGCGTTCGTTGATATTTTCACGTCAGGTATGATCACAACATGGAAAAGGAGATGGCGACCCCAGCAGTGGCTCAGATGCTTGGCAATACCCTTTACTACCGGCGATTCTTCCCGTACTACTCTTTCAACGTCCTGTGCGGTCTGGATGAACAGGGGAAGGGATCTGTCTTTTCTTACGATGCTATTGGATCGTTCGAACGAGTGCCGTACAGCGCGTCAGGCTCTGGCCAGACATACATAATCCCACTCCTTGACAACTTGGTAGAATTCAAAACACGAAAGGACGAGAAGCCTGCACGCTCAGCAGCTGAAACGGTGGAGTTGGTGAAAGAGCTGTTCGTCACCGCAGGCGAACGAGACATCTACACGGGGGACGCGGTAGAGATCACAATCATTTCAAAAGATGGCACATCGACACAGATGTTTCCGCTGAAGAAAGATTAGCTGTATTGCAATTTTGAACCGTGGTGCAGTCAGTGTAAAGTGGATATTGTGATATTCCTTAGCGGTATAAGCTTGGAATTATCTTAAAGAGTGAGTCGTGGAGAAGCTGAGAGATGACGACTGTCCAGTTACATTCGAGAAAATGGCCTGCTTGTGGCAACGCGCTCGCATGCAGCAGTGCATCAAAGGTCCATTGGCGTCCGTCATTGGATAGCTTTGAACATCCAATGGCAGTTGGCGCGATCTGCAACCCAGTGGTCTGAAACCTTCAGCACCACTGGTTCAATTGCCAACAACTTCTTACGGTGTGATACTGTGTGTGTTGTGACCCGTCTAGTGGGGGGTCACTTTGCCGGTCCTTGCGGTCTTGACGCACCAACCGGGTGATGTTTTTCAGGCTTGATATTTATTCCCGATCTCGCGGGTCTTCCCAGTACACGCACACATCGCTCGTTGGTGCATCTAGAAGTTGCACCGGAAACAACGCGCCCGGCGTAGCATGAAATAGTACCCCGTGGGGATATTTGGTGAAGGCTTGACATGCAGTCTCTTCGGGTCGATAGCGCTCCCTCATTCCGCTATCTCTTGGGCGCGTGGTTGTGAATGTGTGGGTGAGAGTTATAACAGACCAGAGAGCCGTATGCGCTCGGCTGATCCCCAAGGCGTGGCCTTCCGCAGGGTGCAACGGACAAGACAATGCCACCGAACCCTGGTGTTGAGAGGTAAAAAGTACAGTTGGTTTGCCTCGGTATTGCCAGTGTGCTCAGGAGGGCCGCTTTACCGGCCACCCGCACTATTCAGAACAGTCAGTGCCTTGTAGACACGCGTGAAATCAGGCAGGGCCCAGGGCCAGAATCCTCCCCCCGTGGCCTCCGGGAGCTGGTCGATCACCTACTTGATGTTAAACAGAGTGTTTTATTTCACACGAGTCTCTCTCTCCATCTATCTCTGTCTCCCATGCCAACATGACAACCAGACAGATGGTAACCCAGTCTACCATACCTCAAGACATGTTGATATCCAAAGGGCGGCTTCCCACCGTAAGGAACATGCAGATATCCAACAGGCGGCTTCCCACCATGAACTACTGCTACCCACATGCGCTGCGTCCGCAACGCCCCCAAAGCTTATAACCACCGTAGAGAGTAATCAGCTTGTTCTCAGAGAGGTTGGAACTTGGTAATACTCAAGAAAAACGACAGCGGTGTTTGTGAAATACCCATTCGCGGCGATATCGCGCAGGAATAATGCCACACCATTTCGTTGGTTAACGCATGTTCATCAACCTCACATACGAAGAGTAGAACGCTCGCATTCAACAGTGAATGGCACGCAACGCTTTACATGACTACGACACGCAAGTGACGGACGACCATACTAAATAGGCAAAGGCCGCACGCAAAAGAAGAAAACGTTTGCAGTGACGACCAACACACCGCAAAAAAAATAAATGGTGCATTTAAGGCTTGAGCTTAAGCTTCTCAGGTCAAATCCCACCCTCCGTCACGACCGCGTCACCGTAATCGCTCCTGTCGTCGCCGCTCCTATTCACGGTGCCGCTGCTCCGTTCGCGAGTGCGTGCGTCCTGGCTACTCGCCGGCGCCGCGAAAAATACATGACTGCGGGCTGAACCCCCTCTTGCCGCCGGTGCTGCTGCCGATGCTACCGCTCCCGCCACGAGTGCCTGTGGCCCGGCCGTCTCCACCACCGCCGCGGGGAAAACCCTGCTACCAGGGGTCACCACTCTCGCCGCCAGCGCTGCTACCAATGTTACAGCTCTAGCTGCGAGTGTCTGCACCCGGGCCGTCGCCCCGGCCGGCGTTGCGGGGAACACATGACTGCCGGTGGTCCCCCCTCTCGCCGCCGGCGCTGCTGCCGATGCTGCCGTTCCCGCCACCAGTGCCCGCGGCCTGGTGGTCTGCCCCCGCCGCCGCGGAGAAAACCTTGACGCCGAGGGTCGCCACTCTCGCCGCTGATGATGCTGCTACCGATACTGACGCTCCCTCCGCGAGTGCGTTGGCCCCGGTCGCCTCCCCCGCCGCCGGTGCCGCTGCAGTCCATCCCGTGAAAACCTATCGTCAAACGACCAACATGCCTCAGGCCCTGTCAGCCCATCGGGGAGAATCGCTTGAGGCGTTCTTTCGTGTGATTTCTTCGCGTTTTCATATATTTTGTATATATCCTGTGATTGCAGGTTTTCTTCGGATTTACTTCTTCGGCCTTGTCATCGTCGCCACCATAGTTTCAAGGTCTTCATCGTGGTCTGGACATTTTTATTCTTCAGTCATGTTGCTCTTGCTGTGTCTCATGCTCGAGAGTGTTACCGTAGTAAGCACTTGCGACTTCCCGTAAAATAAAGAGGAAAGCTTCAGACAGGCAACACCCACGCACCTCGCCGAGGATTGCAAATCAATGTTTGCCACACGCATGGAAAATGACGAAAAAAGCAACGAACCCCTAAGGAAAACGCTGAAAAGCTTTACAAGGCGGTTCCAGGATTGATCAAAATACTTTGGAATACCAACATACATGTTGCCAATGATCCGTACGATCGTCGAACAAGCCAATTACACGAAATTCGAAACGCACACAGCCCGCAAAGAAATACCACCAACACGATGTCATAAGGCGCCATCTACGCAGTTCAACAACATGCAACCATCGGAGCAGCCAACGCACCCCCAAACCTTGGTAACGCGGTCGACAGTGACCTACCTACATATGCAAGGGCCAGGCACGCCACAACCAAATCATTGCGCGGCATCCCAAAGGATGTACATAAAGCAGTCAGCGAAGAACAGCTATCAATACTGGACAAGATAGCGCCCACGCTCAACTCTGATATATGAATTACCAAGGCAATGACGAAATATTGCACCAATCGAGCGCGAACCTTGTTCGGCAGTTCCAGCGGCCACAGCTCGGATTTTACGAACTGCGGCGCAGCATCCCAGACCTTTGACAGCTCTTCCCAGGTGTTTTCTTACTTTTCGACACTGACAGCAACCGACCCTGGTCGGTCACCCCGAGTTGTTGATAACTGTAGACACGCCTGAAATCAGGCAGGGTCTAGGACCAGAATCCTCCCCCCGTGGCCTCGGGGGGCTGGTCGATTCACCTCGCCGGTGATGGTAAACAGAGTGTAGCATTTCACACGAGTATCTCTATCCCCATCTCTCTCTGTCTCCCTTGCCAACATGACAACCAGACAGATGGAAATCCTGATCTACCATATCGTAGACATGCAGATATCCAAAGGGCGGCTTCCCACGGTGAACTACTGCTACCCATGTGCGCTAGGTCTACAGCCTGAATAGTGCCGGCACTATTCAACGTGTTAAAATAAATCCCTCACTAGTTTCGGCTTGGCACTATTCAGGACTGTTCGAGTGCAGCGCTAACGCTTTGTAGGACTAACAGCGTACTAAGTGCGCGAGCTCTCAAGAATCAAGTGTCAGGTGGGAGATGTGGGGGGGGGGGGGGGGG